TACATGGTGATGGGAGAGGCATTTTATTTTATTTTTTATTTTTTTGGCCACACCATGAATCACATGGGATCTTAGTTCCCCAACTAGGGAGTGAACCCACACTCCTTGCATTGGAAGCATGGAGTCTTAACCAGTGGGCCACCAGGAAAGCCCAGGAGAGGCGTTTTAGATGGGACGGTCGGGAAGGCCTCTGGATGAGGCGGCATTTGTCTGTAAAGGCTTGAGTGAAGCGAGCGAGCATGACCCTGGCAGACACAGAGGGGAAGCGGGCTTCAGGTGGAAGGAAGAGAAAGTTCCAAGTCCTTCAATTCAGAGCATGCTTGGCAAACTGGAGAAACGGCAGAGGGGCAGAGTGCACGAGCAGGGCGAACGAGCAGGAGAAGACCTGGGAGTGAGGCCTCGGGGTCAGGTCACACAGGCCTGCGGGCGGCGGCGTGCATCTGGATTTAATCCCGAACGAGGCGGAAGACACTGGAAGGTTGTCAGCAGTAAAGTGACATGTTCTAAAAAATACAACATTCAGCTGGGGGGGCGGGGGGGGTGAGGGAGAGTGAAAACAGTGACCAGTGAGGAGGCTCCTGCAATCATCCAGGCAGGAGATGAGGTGAGACGTTCAGGGAAGGTGGTGGTGTTTGGTTGCCGTGTCCGATTCTTTGCAACCCCAGCTGTAGCCCGCCAGGCTCCTCCATCCACTGGATTTCCCAGGCAATCACACTGGGATGAGTAGCCGTGCCCTCCTCCAGGGGACCTCCCCAACCCGTTGGCAGGCAGGTTCTTTACCACTGAACCATCCATGTCTCCCAAAGATAGGAGACACCATTAAATTCTGACTACTTAAGAAACGAGTGCTAGCATCTGCTGGTGGATTGGATGTGAAGCGTTGGAGAAAGAAAAGAATCCAGGATGATTCTGAAGCAGCTGGAAAGACAGTTGCCATGAGCTGGGCTCCATGAGAAGCAAGTGGGAGCAGAAGAAGTTGACAGAAGGAGGAACGCTCAGCCTGGGGTACGTAAGTCTGCGGTGACTATCAGATAGCCCACATGGAGACGCCAGGGGGTCAGCTGGATATCCGAGCCTAGAATTGACAAGAGGTCGGGCTAGAAATAAATGTGGAAGTTGTTTGCATGTAGATGGCACTAGTGTTCAGAGAGTGGGAGTGATCTCTTATGGACTATAGACGGAGGCCAGTGGTTTGTTAAGAAATAATCGTGTGTGTGTGTGTGTGTGTGTGTCATGTATGCACACGTGTGTAACGGAGGACGGGAGACTAGTTCGTGCACCCTAAATATTCATAAACAGAAACTGCCAGATCGATCGTTGCTGAATCTGGGTGGATGGGAGCTCATGTTATCATTCTCCTTATTTGTGTATCAGTTTGAAGTTTTCCATCAGTAAAAAGGAATGAAACAAACGAGGGAGAGAGAAACTGAAATGTTGATGTCACTGGCAGGTCAGTTAGGAGTGGATGGGGCCCGTACTGGCCATGGGGCTGGCGACGAGACACATCTCAGCAGGGAGGAGAGTCTATGGTAGTGGGTCCCAGAGAGGTGGGATGGAGAGCAGTGAGCAAGTACCATCACCTCCTCCTGGGGATTCTGTGGCAAAGGGGAGCAAAGAAGTGGGTCACTAGCTGGACGGAGATCAAGGGGCCAGAGGTGGGTGGGGGGCAGGTGAGCTCAGGATGGAGTGATTACAGCCATATTTCCTACCACTGTCCTGCACAAAAGCTCTAGACACACCCCTGGAAAGCATCCTTCCCCCCACATTCTCCGCCCACAACCCCACCCCCATTCATCCCGCCCACCCACCAAAGCCTGGACCAGCTCCCACCTCTGGCATCATCCTAGTTGTACGTGATGTGTCCGGGTGTAGTTTCTACCCACAGGCAGAGTTTTTAAGAATTCACTACGGGAGTTCTGGCTGTAGGTGCGGCTGGAGTCTCGGCAGTCCTCAGCGGTAGTGTGTGTCTGAGCACACTGTGTGTTTATGTGTAGATTCAAACTACGCAACACTCCCCTGACAGCCTTCAGTGGGGAAACGGAGCTTCTGCACAAACGGGGAAGTTTCTTATTCCTTTAGATCCTGGAAGACAGCATTCGATAGTAGCAAGGAGAAGAGTATCTTCCACTTGCCTTTCTCACTCCAAAGACACGTCTAGAAGCACGGTTCATGCTAAAGCATCATGGACTGGCAATTTATTTTTGAAACTAACTGAAAAGCCTCCGGTGTTACCCAAGAACTTCTCTTTGAAGACATCAGAAGTTGGGGGGGAGTAGGTGGGTGGGGAGAAGGAGCCCTCTAGTTTCAGATGTGGCAAGCTCCGTGAAACTACACTGAAGAGTAAGACATGATGACAAACGCCGCTTCGCTCACACCTCCCTCCGAGTGTATCACAGCGAGGAGACCAGGGCACCAGCTCTCAGGATTCTTCCTGCTGGGAAGTTTCCCTCAGAAGTATTCCTTTTCAGTGTAAAAGGCAAGAACAGACAAGACACTTCTAATCAGGATTAAATACAAGATGCATCAGAGATGGACTGTGGAGAAATTCTGAAGAAGCAAGAGGTGTGATCAATGTTTCTGTGATGGTGAGAAGGCTAGAGGGACAATGTTTTTGTTCCTACACAGCTAAACTGAGGGAGGGGAGAGGAAACACAGCTTGTTTTTGTTTTTTTTATTAACTGGATTGTAAGCTGATTTTCAATGCTGTGTTAGTTTCAACTGAATCACTGTGCTATACGCTAGAAACTAACGCAACACTGTCTACAAACATGCCTTCTTCCACAAATTCTTTGCCCTTATGGGTTATCACCAAATGCTGAGCACAGTCCCCTGCGCTATGCCAAACGCGTGCTGGGTCTCAGCAGCACGGACCGAAAGCATGCGAACCTCGGGCCCCTGATCACGCACTGCCCGTGCGTGCTGCTCCCAAGCCCTGGGTCATGTATGACCGAGTCCCCAACGCATGAAGCCCAGGGGAGACCGTCACAGCACAGGGTGACCGCCAAGAGACCACCCGCGGTGGGAAGGCCTCCCTGATCCCCAAAGTAAGGGAGCCTGGGGCGCTCTGACAAAAGGCAGAGTGAGCAGGGGTCCTGGCTGCAGAGAGGTGGAGCCCCGAGTCGGCCAGGAGCCACACCACGGTGAGACCCAAACCTGCACATACAGGCAGAGGCCAGGCCACAGAGGGCCTGTGATGCCAGGAGCTCTGCCTGGGGAGGAATAAATCAAAAGATCATTCTGGGGGCAGCGATCTAAAGGGAAAATAGACCATGTGCCAGCTTCAAAGTTGTGAAAATCGGTGACTCTTATTGGTGTGATGTGCTGTCAAAGCCAAGTCTGTTTTTCTGTTATATTCAGCTATGCTTATTTTTGTACCTCCAAGAGGTAAGGGTGTCGTTCTATTTGAGTATTTTTGAACATTCAGACAATTTCCTTGTTCACCTATGCAGCTTAGATCACAAGAGCACAATGTAATCAATCATGGTGATGTAAGTGGATGGTAGTTACTATGAAAATGACCTTCAGCTATGGAACTGGGACAGCTTCTTCCCCTGCAGTTACAAGCCCCTGCCTGGAATTTCACTGATGCAATAGTTCCCAACACTGGTCTATGAAAGAGTTTTCACCAGTTTGCGGTTAAAGGTAGAGGCAATGGACAGTGTGGTGAGATGTAAAACAAACTCTGTTCCATGTAATTACATGTCTTTTCTTTGAAATTATGTCCCACTTCCTTTTGGGAATTAAGATTCCTTTTACTTTATGAAACAACAGCAACAGTTTTTTTTTTTTTTTTGTAAACATCCTTTTATGGCAAAACAACTGGCAACGCCAGATCTGTGCAGTGACTTTTTTGAAATGTGAAATTGTCTTAGAAGCCTGGGAGGCCCAGCGGTCACCTGACAGCGAGTCTGGGGAGAGGACTGGCAATCTGGGCTGACCACGGCTGGTACTGACCTGCCAAAGGGTCAGAGCTGACGGCAGGGTACGTGACAGTCAGAAAACACGGGCCCGGTGTGTGACTTAATCACTTATTTCCTGTTAGTTGCATCTTTGAGGTTAAGTATCTTAATAAGGATTATTAAACTCCTTTTCATGGCCTCTGTGTCACTCACATTTAAACACTATTTAACTTAAATGTGACTTAGTAAGCTCCTAAAAATGGACTTACTTTCCTGCTCCCGACGTCATCTTACTTTGGAGAGAGTTCCTCGTAACCTATGACCTGTTTGCACCGGGGAAACAACTTAACCAGTCTGGGGCCCTGGCCCGAAAGCAGCCCTCCGCACAAGAGCGGTGCCAGAGCCTTTCAGCGAGGACTTACTACACAGTCAGTCAGGACAGCGGAGCCGGGTATGCTGCCGTCCACGGGGTCGCAGAGCTGGGCACCACTGAGCGACTGAACAACAAACTCGGGAAGGAGGCCAAAGACCTATGTTTGCTTCTTGGCTTACAACTCACTAGCTACGTGAGCTCGGGTCAAAGCTTTCTCAACCGCAAAATGAAGCTGAGACGGTATCTCCCTGAACAAAGTGGCTGTGTTTGGGGTTTGGTGAATATTCCACAAGGGTGATATGGCTATTATCGTGAATACAGGATATTCGCAAAACACTGGCTTTTGCACAAGAATCACATCAGACCTGAAAAAGTCCTTTTTGATCATCTGGCCCACTCTTGGCACTTTACAGATGGGGATGGGAAGAAACGAGTCCTGGAGTGGACAGAAGTCCAACCGGGGGGCAGAGCCTAGACTTGGTCTCTGGGTGGAGCCCAGGTTTCTCTCTAACACATTAGTTTTTCCTGCCTGGAAGCATCTGATTCGTACTTTTCAAGTTTCTTGGTTTCTCAGGAAGAAAAATAGAGGATTTTCCAAGTTTTTATGCTAATCTCGAGAATGCAACAAAACTAAGTGGATGTTGAGGGGCATGGTTGACAGGATCTGATAAAAGCGATAAAAGGGACACAAAAGCATCACCAGTAAAACAAAGTAGATACACTTTCTGTTATTTTAAATCAGTAGTTTTATTACAATATGCACTGACACACAATTAGAGAAGGAATGTCCTGACATTTTCTGAGCATTTCACGGAAAGCAAATGTAACCAGCCAGGCAGTCGAGTCTTCCACATCTTTTCCAAACACAAAGCAAAATCTTTTATCTGTGATAACAAAGGAAAGTAAAGTTTTCTTATTCTTGTCTACAAAACGTCAGTGTCAGAAAACAGTTATTAGGAAGTGGGCTGAGACAGGAAGTATTTCCTTCATGACGTCCCAAATCGTGCCTCCAGACTTCCACCCCGATGATTTTCTGGATGATTTTTTATGACACTATGGATGGTAATGTGTTCAGGGGCTAAATGGGATCTACTTACTATATATCACTTCAACTGAAAGGGAAAGATAAATTAAGAAAATAAAGTCCTGGAAAATGCACAAAGGCAAAGAGAAAATATCTGGGTATACTGAAGATGAGATGCTCTTTCCACGTAGCTCATTTAAAAGGTTACAATTACCATAAACATTTTAACTCTATTAAAGATCGCTGACAAAGGCTTGCTCTCTCATCAACAAAAGACTTCTGCCTTTACATGGGCTTGGAAGAAAGTGTCACACCTTGTGAAGAGAGCCACTAATCCTGGTGAAGCAGCTGTCAGACCATCCGGAGTTGCACAGGCTTTTCAGATCCATTTTGTACAAGACACCATGAAACCTTGACCAATTTCTACCTTTCAATAGTTGCAGTAGCAATCAGATGTTTTTATCCCTGTAGCACTCAAATACACAAAAGTACTCTAGGAAAGAAACACTAAAATGACATTTTGAACAAATTCACATTACATAACTTGGGAACAATAAAGCGAGAAGGCCAAGCATGACTCTAGCATTTCATACAGAAAACCACCGCAGGAGAAAACTTTGTTTAAGAACATTAAAACTCGAATGAGTAGAAATACACTTTTGGTTAATCTGTGCTGTTTCATATAGGAATCCTATCAGCTATTCAATCTACTAGGTGACTCGTTTGGATTTTCGTGTCTCACTATCTTAGTAGAAGAATATACACTGCTGCCTATACTCACATATATATATATGCATTTACATATATATATATGTATTTACATATATAAAATTCAGATCATGAACATTTGTTTTAAATACACATACTTAAAACCTGTACCCTAAAAATAAATACATTGGCCTCTAGTAAGCTAATTCTCAAGAGTTCCTTGACAAACCAATCAGAACACAGTTTCTCAACAATGGCATGTGACAAATTAGCCACTCTTTAAATCCATTATCTATCAGTAAATGTGTTAAAATTCAGATGTACAACCGAAATAGCATTCCCAGAATAGAAGATGAGAGAAAATTCTGGCTTTGAAAATGAATGTCTTGGCTTCCTTCGCGTTTAGCTCCTGCAGATGTCTAGTCTCTGCCTCTGCATTTATCTGGCAGTGGGAGAGTGCTTTCCAGTGACAGCCTTCTCTTCCACTGACGTTCCCTTCTGATCAAAGGAGTCAGCCGGTTTCCTGTGCGGCCTTGTGTAAAAGAACTAACACAGCATTGTGTATGTATTTGATACCACTCCCATCATCACAGTGAGCTGCGTGTTTTAACGTAATTTACAGTGCGCCGATGCCACTGAGGTGAGGGAGAAGTGGCCCTGGCGTTGAAAAGAGTCTCCCAGAAGAACAGCGCACACAGGACGGGGTGTGTATCTCTATGTTCTATGAAGTGACCCAAGACCACGGCCAGAGTGGACAGACTGGCTACCTGTCTGATACTGCAGTTCAAACAACAGAGACAGATGAAAAGACTCGATATATCCTTCAGAAAGGATGACATTCACAAAATGGAGCTTTACGTTTTTACTTTTACAGTTCCAAAACAATTTCTTAAAATGATATAAGCCAGACCAAGTTGTTTAATACAGTACAATATTTAACAACCTTGTCATTTGGTTTTGAATACAAGAATTTCAGAGATGTATGAAACCCATGATAAATAATAGCAAGAATGTTTAATGCCACTGCCTAAATGTTTTAAAAGGAAAACCTATCATAGTCGAAATACAACTTCTAAAAAAGACAATGTTCTATGCACTCACAGTTCCAGATTGCTAACTTTATAAATTAAAGCAAAAGTTATCCATATATAAACAAGGCCTCTTTTTCATTGATTTTGATCTCGTTTAAACCTTTAGATATTTCAGTCTTCAGATTCCACAAGGTAAGGCTGAGTTTACCAGGTATAAATAAAACGTTTAAGTCCACGATGTACTGTAGCAGTGAGGAAACAAAAACATCAAATATTTACAGACTGGCTACAATACTTCTCTTAAAAAAAAAAAAAGTCAAATGTGTATCAACATCAAGCCACACTCTTTTTCTTTTTTAAATTTCTCTGGTTGCAAAAAATGGGACAACAGCATTTTTTCTCACTCATTTTCCTCTCAGTCCTGAAGTCAGAGGCAGGTCTTTAGGTCAAAGGTCTTTTGGGAGGTGGTGGAGGCATGAGCTCTGTGTCTGGGTCCGGGTGATGCTTTCGCTTCTGTCCTTGAGAAGGTGCTGCACATCTGTCAATGAACTCGAAGAGCATCTCCTTGGTGACAGGGTTGGAGATACTGTTGCACACAGCTGTGGGAAAAGGGAGACACGTGTCTCATGTGAGGGCTCATGAAGGGAGCTGACTCGCCCCAGGGAGATGAGGATGGGAGAGGTTTCCATCCCAATAGGCTAGAACGTTCCGTCTTGCCGACGTGGGCGACTTGCTGCGAATTAAACTGTGCTCCTCTCTCCCCCACCCTGAAGCGAGGCATTGCTGGTAGCTATACTTCTCCTTTTTCGGCAGAGCCATGTGGCTTGTGGGATCTTAGTTCCCAGACCAGGGATCTACCCCATGCCCCCTGCGTTGGAAGCACTGGACCACCAGGGAAGTCCCTCTGGTGGTTACTCTTTACTATTAATTCTAGAACAAAATGTTTAAGTTTTGGGGTTTAAGCCTGTCTTCACCACAGTTCTCGATCCTTCCAAACAGTCTGCACTGCACATGGATCTCGCGCAGTGCATCGCACTACAGTCCACGATCACACGGTTTCTAAAGAAAACCCCCCCCTGCGTCCTTCAACCTGCTCTCTCAGAGAGCAGTGCACATGGCCACGTGTGAAAGACAGCACAGGAGGCTGCGCTGTAGCTGGGAGAGCATGTTTTCCTTTATTTTAGTAACTTGTTTGAAGTGAGGCATTATAACAAAATGACTATTAAATAAAGCACCTTTTCTAATGTGATCAAAACTGTATTTACCTACTTGGTTTTAGGAAAAAAGACAAGGGCTTAATTACTCCTCTTTTTTGAAATTAACTCATCCTGTCTGAACACAAATAGTTCGAACAAGAATCTTTTGAATATACAAAAGTAACTTTTAAGCTGCAAAACTCAAACTGGCAATTTCTTTATTATCTCTTAAGCTTATCAAACCACCATCAGCACCTTGACTGACTGAGCACTCTAAAGTTCACGATCCCATTAACCTTTCATCTCGTTTTGCTTTTTTTCCCTCCCAATTCGAATTCACTGGAAGCTCAATTCAGAGTTGCCTGAAGAAGTAGTTTACCTTTTAAAAATAATTAATGCATGCTGCTCCTCATGAAACAACCTTACTACCCTGAATTCCCAAAGCAATCACACTGTGCCCAGAGCACATCCTGAAGATAGCATACCACATTTTACATTTTTTTTTAAGCTTTTCATTGACTTTGTTCTCCATTGTTTGTAAAGCTATTTTAGGAGCTGGAAATTACATTTCCCCCTGCTAATTCTGTCTTTTACCATCTGGCAAACGATGGTGTTTAGTGTTTTGAACAGATCTGCAATTACCGTGGGTTTTGTTGTGGTTGTTGTTCAACAAATTCATCTTGTCCACAGCTCACCTTCCTGCCCTTTAAACTGCTCCCCCGGGCGCCTGGCAGGAGCCCACAGGTTGAAGGAGGGGTAGAATCACAGGGCACAGACCTGCCACAAGCCCTGTGAGTCTGGATGACCTTCTCCCCTCTGAGCTGTGAAAGAGGTTAGTTCTAACACCTTGCCTCTTTTGGGGGGTTTCATGTACCATCCACTGGGAGGCTGTCATACTCACCCAAGGCAGTGTTGTAGGCATTGGGAAAACTTTTATCTGTTCTCTGTCTCATAAAGACCCAGCTGTTGTTCTCGAATTTGCATTCTATAATTTTGTTGTCATACTGTTTGAGCTCTTTTGTCACCTGTTTTAAAAGAGAATTGAGGAAAATGTTTTAAGTCATTTGACAGGCTTCTTGCCTCCCTTACGTGACAGACGCATGAGGGGATGCCAAAAACACCTCTGCGGCTCGTCCCACGGAGTTCTGTGTCATATGAAGCATCTACTCACGCCCAAGGATGCGGCACTCACTCCCCTGTACGCTAGGTGATTAATCTGACATCTTATAAACAGTAGTGAAAATAGCCGTCGATATACAGCAGTTAAAGGAAGCTATGCAAAAACCAGCCACTCCTGGGCCAGGTGCAAACCTGTCAGCCATGGGGACCGGCGCCTTCCATACTGTCTGCGTCCCTCTGGCTTTCAGAAACTGAGTATCCGCAAAGGTTTCAAAAACCTTCAGGAAGGTCCTGGCATCTAAGCGCCCACGTCAGGACCCAAGAAACCCCCGCCACCAGTTACGATAAGAAGTTACCCCCAGAGAGCAGACATTAGGGTCTGATTCAGGCAATGTGCATCCTAAATATTTTGCTTTTCAAGCAGTGATAATTAACCAAAAAGCTCATCTTTAGGCTGTTTATTTACCCTTTTCATCTCCAAAATGGTATGAATTTAGAGATGGAGCTGCTTTTGATATTATCTGGTGGGTGTTTTTGGCTACTTCACCTCAGATGATTGAATATGGATTACAACTTACTCTATCAAAGCTAACAAGTATCCATGGCAACTGTAGAAGCTTTTAAAAGATATTTCATCGGGCTGTGAGTATGGTTTTCATAAATAGGAATCTAAGCTTATCTTTGCAGTTTTCAAATCAAATGCCAGTCATAATAATATTTTAATTCTGTCCTCATCTTTTCCAGCTAACAACTTTTCCTCACAATATGGAAGATTGCAACCAGTTAACTTCATTAGCATTATTTGAAATGCTGTCCTTTTTCTACCCACGTATTCGCTATCACCTAGGAATATGAAGGGAAGCAAATTTTTAAAAGACGCTGTCAATTCACAGATTTCGCAGCGCATGCCTTCATAAAACCTTTCAAATTGTAGTCCTTTTCTCTCCCTGAGCATTACAGCTGATTGGACTAGCGTTTTCAACAAATCTGACAGGACCAACAAATCTCAGTGTGCTGGAACCAGACCTGCCCAAGAAAATGATGTCCTACAAAGTGAACTTGATCATTTACTTTCAAATATTCATGATTCTCATCTCAACTCCCCTCCCTCCCTCCGAGGGATCTGCCTTCTTTTATTTTTGATACAGGATCTGTATCCAACCCAGGCGACTTACTCAGGGACAGGAACCACTTACATTACACCAAAGGTAGGGTCTAACAGGCAGATTGCTAAACCTTTCAGATTCTTCATTTTCTAACTTCTTAAATGGGCAATGGCATTTCTAAGGCACTGGGACACTGGGGCAATAATAAACGGAAGTGTCCGACACACGGTACCCACCAGTAAAATTCTTAACTGAATATAAAGTCAGGAAATGAAACATTACTTGCAAACTTAAGAAAAAAACTAAGCAAATTCACTAAAGAAACCAAGATAACATGAAAAGATATAATTTGAGAGCACTTGTCAGGAAAACTGTATCATATACACATTTACAAGGATCACTTGTTACCAATGTGCAGTCTGCACTTTTACTCACTACTCATCACAGTACATCTTTACCAAATAGCTTATCATTCTTATGTTCCTGGTATCAGATTTGCTATAAATTATGTGTTGCTCAATCTGACTATAGTAGTTGGGCTATATTATTAAGTATCTGTTTGTATCTGGCCACATTAACACTCTGGGAAACAGGGCTTTCCAGAAAATGCAGGCACTTGCCACTATGCCAACCTAAATGTATTTCCGTGTTCAAAAACAGTGCATTGTTTTTCATGCACCACACCAAAAATAATCCCCAAACAGACACACTGCACTCATTTGGTCAAGTAGTAAAATATATCTAACTGATAAACACCATGCATCCCATATGTGCACAAAGACAGTTTTCACTAATGGTCAGATCAGAAGAATGATTGGCATACAGGGAAAGAGTTTAATTTTACTATCTAAATTCTAATTTGTTACTATGACAATAATCATCCTCAGCCAATCACACATTATTATTTACTAAAACAGGATCTGGTTAGGCCTTTTATAATCAGCTCTGCTATCCTGTTTTGAGTTAATCAGAGGTTGCAAGTAATAAGAATAAAATATTTATAAATCAAGATTTCACATCTGTACTCATAATTACATTGGATTAATGAGATTTATTGGTTTTTTTGGGGGGGGGGAAATACAGTGTATTTTATACTGAAGAAAATAATTTTTTTTCTTTCTTCTTGTCCATCTTATTGAGTACCACACTTTTGATACCACTTAAATCTACCAATAATTGGGTATTAAGAGATAGTCAGATGAAACCAGATCTAGTACCTCTGAAGATTTCAGATTAGCAGGTCAATGGAACAAAGGGCCCAAGACAGAAGAAGACAGAACCACAGCTGTTCTTCTCTGTATTTTTTCTTTTTTTAAAGATGCAACATAGTTTAATCTAAAAAACATTATGCTGAGCAAAAAGAGCCTGATACAAAGGAATATATACTATGTGACTCCTTTATACAAATTTCAAGAACAGACAAAAGTAATCTAAACCGATATAAATAAGAATAATGGTTGCCTGGAGTACAGATCCAAGTCATAAGGGGATTGACAGCATAACAGCAGCATGCAGGAAACTTTAAGTGTGTTGGAAACGTTCTAGAGCATCATTAGGGTAGTTGTTATACAGATGAATATATTTTTTCAAAACTCATCAAATTGTTTAGCAAAATTTATGCATTGTATTGCATGTAAATTACACCTCTATTTTTTAACAGAATATTTTTTGTAACCTAAATGCTGGCCATGATACCAAGTCATAAAAGGCGAACCATCGGTGTTGGCTGAACCAACCTACACAGAGCAGGCAGATGAGTTTTGGGTGGAGCGCAAGCCTTTAAAATTTACTATCCCTGCTCTGTGAGAGCTGTTTTGTTATCAGGAGCTCATCTTTTCTAGAGAAACTACAAAGGGGAGAGGGATTTCTCTGAACTAATTTGCTCTAGAGACACTACAAAATAACAAATATCCTTAGATTGAGAAGATACCAGTAAGCTGGGTTTTAACTTTTAATTCTGAAATAATTTTAGATCTACAGAAAAGTTGTAAAGATTATATCAACAGTTCCAGGATTCCCATCACCCTGCTTCTTCTAATGTTCATGTTTTGTATATCACAGAACAGTTATCAACTGAGAGGTTAACAATGATACAACACAATCAGCTAAACTTGATTCAGACTTCATCAGTTTTTCCACTGTCTTTATCTGCTCCAGGAAACTGCACTGTGCTTAGCCTCTTCTGACCTGTGACAGCTTCTCAGAGCTCTCCTGACACATGTGAAGACTGCTCAGCTCAGTTCAGTCGCTCGGTCGTGTCCGACTCTTTGTGACCCCATGAACCGCAGCACGTGGGGGCTTCCTGCCCATCACCAACTCCCGCAGTCCACGCAGCACGCCAGGCCTCCCTGCCCATCACCAACTCCCGGAGTCCACGCAACAGTCCAGGCCTCCCTGTCCACCACCAACTCCCGGAGTCCACGCAGCACTCCAGGCCTCCCTGCCCATCACCAACTCCCGCAGTCCACGCGGCACGCCAGGCCTCCCTGCCCATCACCAACTCCCGCAGTCCACGCAACACTCCAGGCCTCTCTGTCCATCACCAACTCCCGCAGTCCACGCGGCACGCCAGGCCTCCCTGTCCACCACCAACTCCCGGAGTCCACGCAGCACTCCAGGCCTCCCTGCCCATCACCAACTCCCGCAGTCCACGCGGCACGCCAGGCCTCCCTGCCCATCACCAACTCCCGCAGTCCACGCAACACTCCAGGCCTCCCTGTCCATCACCAACTCCCAGAGTCCACCCAAACCCATGTCCGTCGAGCCGGTGATGCCACCCAACCATCTCACCCTCTGTCGTCCCCTTCTCCTCCTGCTCTCAATCTTTCCCAGCATCAGGGTCTTTTCAAATGAGTCAGCTCTCTGCATCAGGTGGCCAAAGTATTGGAGTTTCAGTTTCAACATCAGTCCTTCTAATGAACATCCAGGGCTGATCTCCTTTAGGATGGACTGGTTGGATCTCCTTGCAGTCCAAGGGACTCTCAAGACTACTAGTCAGATATTTTGTAGAATGTTCCTCAGTTTTGGATTTTCTGATGTTTTCTCATGATCAGACTGAGGTTATAAATTTTGGGAAAGAATGCCAGAGAGATGACGTACCCTCCTCTTTACATAATATCTAGGCAATAGATAAGATCTTGGGTTTCCCAAGAGGTGCAGTACTAAAAAATCTGCCCGCCAACGCAGGAGATGCAAGAGACGCAGGTTTGATCCCTGTGTTGGGAAGATCCCCTAGAGCAGGAAATAGCAACCCACTCTAGCATTCTTTGCCTGGAAAATTCCATGGATGGAGGAGTCTGGCGGGCTATAGTCCATGGGGTCACAATATGATTCCTTACTGGTGATGTAAACCCTGATCACTTGGTGAAGAAGGCACCAGCCAGGCTTCTTTACTATTAAGCTAGCATACTCTGTTAGTTATGAGGCACTATGTCTAGCCCTGATCAAAGATAAGGGAATTTAGCCACTTGCTTGAAGGAAGAGTATCTAAGAATTTGTGGACATTTATTAAAAGCATCACAGAAATCAATACATTTCCTGGGAGAGAGACTTTGAGGCTATACAAATATCCCTTTTCTTCTTAAAAGTTTCACTCATTAATTGTAGCATTCACCCATTAATCTTGCCTATGGCAATTATTACTGTGGTATTATAACGTAATTTTCTACTTTCTCCATTCCTTATACATTTATTATCTGGATGTCTGCTGTAAAGAAGATCTGCTCTTCTCCCTCATTTATTTATTTGCTTATTTGTGTCAGTAAGAATCCATGGACATTTATTTTATTCTTTGGCTTATC